AAATCTCTGGAAGACTGAAACAGGTTTCCCTCAAGAATTTCCCTGTATTTAGCGCCATCCATCATTCCTTCAATTCTGACCAGTTTTCCAGTCCCTGCCGATGAAAAACATCCCCACAGCATGATGCTGCTACCACCATGCTACACTGTGGGGATGGTGTTCTCGGGGTGATGACAGGTGTTGGGTTTGCGCCAGACATAGCGTTTTCCTTGATGGCCAACAATATCAATTTTAGTCTCATCTGACCCGAGTACCTTCTTCCATATGTTTGGGGAGTCTCTCACATGCCTTTTGTCAAACACCAAACGTGTTTGCTTATTTTTTCTTTAAGCAATGGCTTTTTTCTGGCCACTCTTCCATAAAGCCCAGCTCTGTGGAGTGTACGGCTTAAAGTGGTCCTATGGACAGATACTCCAATCTCTGCTGTGGAGCTTTGCAGCTCCTTCAGGGTTATCTTTGGTCTCTTTGTTGCCTCTCTGATTAATGCCCTCCATGCCTGGTCCGTGAGTTTTGGTGGGCGGCCCTCTCTTGGCAGGTTTGTTGTGGTGCCATATTCGTAATTTTTTTTTTGCATGGATTTAATGGTGCTCCGTGGGATGTTCAAAGTTTCTGATTTTTTTTTATAACCCAATGCTGATCTGTACTTCTCCACAACTTTGTCCCTGACCTGTTTGGAGAGGTCCTTGGTCTTCATGGTGCCGCTTGCTTGGTGGTGCCCCTTGCTTAGTGGTGTTACAGACTCTGGGGCCTTTCAGAACAGGTGTATACAGTGGGGAGAACAAGTATTTGATACACTGCCGATTTTGCAAGTTTTCCTACTTACAAAGCATGTAGAGGTCTGTAATTTTTTATCATAGGTACACTTCAACTGTGAGCGACGGAATCTAAAACAAAAATCCAGAAAATCACATTGTATGATTTTTAAGTAATTAATTTGCATTTTATTGCATGACATAAGTATTTGATACATCAGAAAAGCATAACTTAATATTTGGTACAGAAACCTTTGTTTGCAATTACAGAGATCATACATTTCCTGTTGGTCTTGACCAGGTTTGCACACACTGCAGCAGGGATTTTGGTCCACTCCTCCAAACAGACCTTCTCCAGATCCATCAGGTTTCGGGGCTGTCACTGGGCAATACAGACTTTCAGCTCCCTCCAAAGATTTTCTATTCGGTTCAGGTCTGGAGACTGGCTAGGCCACTCCAGGACCTTGAGATGCTTCTTACAGAGCCACTCCTTAGTTGCCCTGGCTGTGTGTTTCGGGTCGTTGTCATGCTGGAAGACCCAGCCACGACCAATCTTCAATGCTCTTACTGAGGGAAGGAGGTTGTTGGCCAAGATCTCGCGATACATGGCCCCATCCATCCTCCCCTCAATACGGTGCAGTCGTCCTGTCCCCTTTGCAGAAAAGCATCCCCAAAGAATGATGTTTCCACCTCCATGCGTCACGGTTGGGATGGTGTTCTTGGGGTTGTACTCATCCTTCTTCTTCCTCCAAACACGGCGAGTGGTGTTTAGACCAAAAAGCTCTATTTTTGTCTCATCAGACCACATGACCTTCTCCAATTCCTCCTCTGGATCATCCAGATGGTCATTGGCAAACTTCAGATGGGCCTGGACATGCGCTGGCTTGAGCAGGGGGACCTTGCGTGCGCTGCAGGATTTTAATCCATGACGGCGTAGTGTGTTACTAATGGTTTTCTTTGAGACTGTGGTCCCAGCTCTCTTCAGGTCATTGACCAGGTCCTGCCGTGTAGTTCTGGGCTGATCACTCACCTTCCTCATGATCATTGATGCCCCACGAGGTGAGATCTTGCATGGAGCCCCAGACTGAGGGTAATTGACCGTCATCTTGAACATTTTCTAATAATCGCGCCAACAGTTGTTGCCTTCTCACCAAGCTGCTTGCCTATTGTGCAGGTCTACAATTTTATCCCTGATGTCCTTACACAGCTCTCTGGTCTTGGCCATTGTGGAGAGGTTGGAGTCTGTTTGATTGAGTGTGTGGACAGGTGTCTTTTATACAGGTAACGAGTTCAAACAGGTGCAGTTAATACAGGTAATGAGTGGAGAACAGGAGGGCTTCTTAAAGAAAAACTAACAGGTCTGTGAGAGCCGGAATTCTTACTGGTTGGTAGGTGATCAAATACTTATGTCATGCAATAAAATGCAGTGTGTGCAAACCTGGTCAAGACCTACAGGAAACGTGTGATCTCTGTAATTGCAAACAAAGGTTTCTGTACCAAATATTAAGTTCTGCTTTTCTGATGTATCAAATACTTATGTCATGCAATAAAATGCAAATTAATTACTTAAAAATCATACAATGTGATTTTCTGAATTTTTTTTTTTAGATTCCGTCTCTCACAGTTGAAGTGTACCTATGAAAAATATTACAGACCTCTACATGCTTTGTAAGTAGGAAAACCTGCAAAATCGGCAGTGTTTCAAAAACTTGTTCTCCCCACTGTATATACTGAGATCATGTGACACTTAGATTGCACACAGGTGTACTTTATTTAACTAATTATGTGACTTCTGAAGTTAATTGGTTGCACCAGATCTTATTTAGGGGCTTCATAGCAAAGGGGGTTAATACATATGCACGCACCACTTTTCCGTTATTTATTTTTTCGAATATTTTGAAACAAGTTATTTTTTTCATTTCACTTCACCAATTTGGACTATTTTGTGTATGTCCATTACATGAAATCCAAATAAAAATCCATTTAAATTACAGGTTTTAATGCAACAAAATAGGAAAAACGCCAAGGGGGGTGAATGTGGTCCTCTGTAGCTCAGCTGGTAGAGCACGGCGCTTATAACGCCAAGGTAGTGGGTTCGATCCCCGGGACCACCCATACACAAAAAAAATGTATGCACGCATGACTGTAAGTCGCTTTGGATAAAAGCGTCTGCTAAATGGCATATTATATTATTATTATAATACTTTTGCAAGGCCCTGTAGTGGTCATATGAGTATGTGTTATTACAGTTAAAGAGCCTAGCCAACAACTTCCACACATCTGTCAACTTTTTGGCAAATCTAAGATAGGTTGCAGGCCTATATACAGTAGCTAGCCAGCAAACACACCACTACCATACAACATTGTTTCAATGTTGACTCAAAGTTGCGGGCCTCAACGTGCCATTGCTACTTTGTAACAACCATTGGATAACTTTTGTGTTGCGCTGCATGAAAATTGCTCATTGTTTGCTACTGCTCCCTACTGTATGTAATTCCCAGAAAGGGAGAGGGGGGATCATCTGACTACTTGTCTCTACATCACTGACATTAAACACACGTGATGAAAACACAAAGAACACAATATTCATGTGTTATTTATTTGTGCACAGATGAATGTATACATAGTATACAAATGCAGCTGATGAAAGAACAAGTATTTTGCTATACATAATGCAAAATAAAATGCAATAGCTACAATTCCAAAGAATACAGGAACCATCTTTTAGATGGAAGATGTGGTCCCTCCGAACCAAGACTGTCAAAATAGACAACAGAATTGTATCATGGGAGTGGATTCTCAATGCTAGGTAGGTCCCTTTTCATTTACAGTGGGTCTCAATGGAATGTAGAGCAAAACAAAATGCCTTTTGTCACTTTCTTATGTATTGTAATAAAACAATTATTATTACATAATAATGTCATAACACAGGCTTTATTAGAAAAGTCAGTAGAGAGGACAAAGTATCAGAAACTGCATTGCTGATGATGTGACATGGTCTTGTAGAGTTCCTATGATAATTTACCAGCATTGCATTGAAATAGCTGAACTGAACACACTGTAACTAATAGTATTTACTTGAAACTCAAATTCTCAAATGACCATCATACATAAGGGGACAAGGAAGAATAGCAGTATCCACTCTTCTGCTAGAGGTAAGAAAGCTATGCTATGTCAAGTTCATGTAGTGAATCTGAGATTTGTCTCTTGCAGTACTAAGGCTTTCCTCAAATTCATTATCCTCATCTCTTTGGCGAAAACATGAATAAAATCCGAGGAAAATTATGCATTGCACAATACAAGTACATTGTTTCTTGAAACGAATCGTTAGTTATACAGTACATACAGTACGTTTGATTCTCTATGTCTATATATATATATATATATATATATATATATATATATATATATATATGTTTTCTTTCTCTCAAAATATTTAATTGTTTGGCCAAATTTAAACTGCTTTATTGTATCACTGGATTGATTAAAATCCAATTCATAATTGGTTTGATAATTGCCAATTGCTGATAATCTTTTCAAGTGTGTAGGATATTTAATAATCATCATGTGACAAATATTACTATCAACTGTTTAATCATGGAAACAGATAAAGGTATATTGTAGAGTTTTTAACAAGACCTTAGCAAATTGTTTAGATTACAATTGTAATGTTATTTGTTTTATGTTGAACTTATGTCAATGTACCTAATACATTAACAATTAACAATATTAATACAATTCCATTGTAAATACAAAAATATAATTTGAAACTAGTGCATGAACCAAACAGGTGTTCTATTTTGCAGATACAGTACTGCACTTCACATTTCATTAAGAGTATTACTGAAAAGATGGGGATGGTGAATCACAGATGAAATCCTGCTCCAATGATAATCCAGTGACTGATTTGAAGTTGATTGAGTCTCTTGTGTCAAATATAGTAAATAGTCTATAGACCTATATAGACTGTACCTAGACCAGCGCTGTGTGTTTTTTACTCTTTGTCTCACTAGAGGTAGAATGGCTGTGGCTGTGCCCAAAATCGTTCTTGCCCACTGCCTACTAAAATAATAAACGATGTACTAACCTTACTATATACTATTTAGAACATACTGTTTGTTACAAATGTCTGCAGTAAGCAACAGATATCAACATACTAGGCAAACCATACCGAGAGGGTGTCATCTAATGCATAGGCAGGTTGTTCCCTGCCTTTCGTTCATTTTGGTACAGCCCTTCCCCTTTTCTGATTATCAGCTGTTGTCAAACACATGTGGATCTAATAAACACAATAATCTTCCTCAATAGTGTGCAGCGTATTCATATTATATTAAAAGCTGAAAGAAGTATGGCATCCTGGCATTAAAAACACTCAATATTTGAAATGTCACATACAATAAAACGTTCTATTTTCGCATACTCAAAAACCCTACTATTTAGGACACAAGTACGAGTATTCGGGCACTGCCAGTAACTCCAACTCAACTGAAATTGTCCCACAGTTTGTACCTCTACCACTTGCTTTCCCTTAGCTGTTTCAAATACCATTTCGTCATCACAACAATGCCATGCACTACGGGAGTCCGTCAGAACCCAATAGGACAGCGAATGGGTTTTCTTTTCAAGAGCATCACTGGAACAACACAAAGAATCAGCAGACCTAGAACTTCTCTAACATGACTGCACTGTGCAGAAATCTAGTTCCTGTGGCTTCTTCATGCCAGAGCAGTGCTCTCTGGGTAGGTGCATGCCAGTCTGAGTGGTGCAACGCAGCGGCCGCCGTTTGAAGCCCCTCCCACATGTCTTGGAGCACAAAGACCACTGGCCTATGTCCCACATGGGACAGGGGTCCCCACATACCCTGGTGGCACCCGGCCTCTGTAAGCCGTCACAGTCCGTGGCTGTTTTGCCCTCTGGGTCCGTACACTGAACCAGTCTACTCTGGAGCCCGTTCCCACAGGTCACGGTGCACTCTTCCCAGGCCCCCGTCGACCACATGTTTGGGGGCATGGACTTGTGCGATGGCCCCTTCAGCTCCACCTTGTTGCTGTCCATCAGGACGCTGTTCTGCGAGTGGCTCCTCTCCACTTTCTTCAGGATCTTCACCTCCTTGTGGTGCTCCCGGGCCAGGTAGAAGGAGTAGCGGACCCGGGGCGGGGTCATCTTCCCCACCGAGAGGACCTCCACGGTCAGGGCTTCCTGGAGAGGCCTGGTGGCCTGGAGGATCTCCACAGCACTAGTGGTGCCGCTGTAGCGCAGCAGGCTGCCCTTCACAATGATGTCCCGCTCCACCGCTGACACCACGTAGTTCCCGTTCAGAAGGTATTTGCCGTGTTGGTTCTTCACCGCTAGGTAGTTGTTGTCGTTAACCAAGCCCCTGTAGCCACGCTGTCGGATGTCGATGTTGGACGCTCCCACGGGCAACATCACCACAAAGTTGTAGCCATGTCTGAAAAAAATATGGTGACATAAATTATGGTGACATAAAGTACCAGATTCTTGCATGCACTGAGAACAGCATACTGTGTGCTGGTCACTTACATGGGTTTGGTGAACAATCCGGACACTTTCTTGCAGCTTTGGTTGTCCCCTCCACACACACCACACTTGTCATACTTCTTATTGGAGCTGAGCTTGCCGTCGCAGCCCGCCTTGATACATTTACCTTGGACACACACTGCAGAGGTGTCGGGAGAACAGGGTGTTCCATCAACAACCTGTAGGTGTGAGTAGGGAAATATATTAGTGAGAGAGAGAGACAGAGAGAGAGGAAGCGAGAGAAAGAGTGCTTGTGTGTGTGTGTGTGTGTGTGTGTGTGTGTGTGTGTGTGTGTGTGTGTGTATGCGTGCGAGCGAGCGTGTGCGTGAGTGAGTGAGAGTGTGTGTGTGTGCAGGACACTAACTTGTCCTTCGGAAAAGTAGGACTGATTTTTTACTTGTCCGAAAGCTCAAGTCACTTGGTCTGTAACACAATGGGACAAAAAGGTAACTGGAAATAGTGTTGTATGATGCAAGGAACCACTTTACAAAATAAAATGTATTATTATCATTATTATGCCTATTAGCATACAGAAAATCTGACAAAAATGTAGGCTACCGTCTGCCTATTGGCTTCTTTGCAGATTCAATACTGTCTCAAAATACAACAGTGCCCCTTTAAGGCACCCATTCATCAACTGCATGTCGGCCATTTGCAGTGTGCCAGTGGAAAGTTTTTAGGGACATCGGATTTGACAAAGACATTAATACATGCTAATAGCTAAATAGTTAACTATCGACATAACTAGCCAGGATACACGATATGTGGTGAATTGGCTATCTAGTTAGTGAATTGGCAAATAGATATCCAATATGGATGGTGTTAAGAAATAGATGGGAGGTGTTGAATGGAGCTGAAGGATGGGACTAATAACAACAAGATAACTAATGTAAAGCATACTGTGTCCATAATAAGTATACAGGTTATAGGTTGAGAGCTTTTGTGAAAGAGCACAGTTAGAAAAATATGGCATATGTGGCATATAGAAGAATATGTTCCGGGATTCTTCCGTGGTCCTCTGTAGCTCAGCTGGTAGAGCACGGTGCTTGTAACGCCAAGGTAGTGGGTTCGATCCCCGGGACCATCCATACACAAAAAAATGTATGCACGCATGACTGTAAGTTGCTTTGGATAAAAGCGTCTGCTAAATGGCATTTTATAAGCAAACCAGATGGACATCATGAAAATGATCGGAGGAAGTTCAGGAGTAAAAACAAACAAAATATAATTATTGTAGAATTTGACTGTGTCCATAAAATATATATAGTATGTATGGGCTGGAAGTAGAGGCCTAAGCATTGTTGTTCACTAGTTTACTCCAATTGGGGAAGGGGTGGTGGGGTTGGAACGTAATGAAGGGAAATATAATTTTAAAAAGGATATGTGTGTGTGTATGGATGTATGTATGTATGTATATATATATTTGCGAGAGAAAAAAACATATGGGGGATTGGAAGTGATGCAGACAATTACATTGATGGAAGTTACAATCTATCTGAAATATTAAAGCTGATCTACCCCCTAAAAAAACAACATAAAAAACAAAAAAAGATAGAACAGCTGCCTCCGGTAAGACTAGGGGTGGCAGTCTGTGTATATTTGTTAATAACAGCTGGTGCACGAAATCTAATATTAAGGAAGTCTCAAGGTTTTGCTCGCCTGAGGCACAGTATCTCATGATAAGCTGTAGACCACACTATTTACCAAGAGAGTTTTCATCTATATTTTTCGTAGCTGTCCATTTACCGCCACAAACCGATGCTGGCACTAAGACCGCACTCTACGAGCTGTATAAGGCCATAAGCAAACAAGAAAATGCTCATCTAGAGGCGGCGCTCCTAGTGTTCGGGGACTTTAATGCAGGGAAACTTAAATCCGTTTTACCAAATTTCTACCAGCATGTTAAATGTGCAACCAGAGGAAAAAAACTCTAGACCACCTTTACTCCACACACAGAGACGCGTACAAAGCTCTCCCTCGCCCTCCATTTGGCAAATCTGACCAGAATTCTATCCTCCTGATTCCTGCTTACAAGCAAAAACTAAAGCAGGAAGTACCAGTGACTCGCTCAATACAGAAGTGGTCAGATGACGCAGATGCTAAGCTACAGGACTGTTTTGCTAGCACAGACTGGAATATGTTCCGGGATTCTTCCGATGGCATTGAGGAGTACACCACATCAGTCACTGGCTTCATCAATAAGTGCATCGATGACGTTGACCCCAAAGTGACCGTACGTACATACCCCAACCAGAAGCCATGGATTACAGGCAACATCCGCACTGAGCTAAAGGGTAGAGCTAACGCTTTCAAGGAGCGAGACTCTAACCCAGAAGCTTATAAGAAATCCTGCTATGCCCTCCGACGAACCATCAAACATGCAAAGCGTCAACACAGGACTAAGATTTAACCATACCATACCGGCTCCGACGCTCGTCAGATGTGGCAGGGCTACAAAGGGAAGCACAGCCGCGAGCTACCCAGTGACATGAGCCTACCAGACGAGCTAAATTACTTCTATGCTCGCTTCAAGGCAAGCAACACTGAAGCATGCATGAGAGCATCAGCTGTTCCGGACGACTGTGTGATCACGCTCTCCATAGCCAATGTGAGTAAGACCTTTAAACAGGTCAACATTCACAAGGCCGCAGGGCCAGACAGATTACCAGGACGTGTACTCCGAGCATGCGCTGACCAACTGGCAAGCGTCTTCACTGACATTTTCAACCTCTCCCTGTCTGAGTCTGTAATACCAACATGTTTCAAGCAGACCACCATAGTCCCTGTGCCCAAGAACACCCAGGTAACCTGCCTAAATGACTACTGACCCGTAGCACTCACGTCTGTAGCCATGAAGTGCTTTGAAAGGCTGGTCATGGCTCACATCAACACCATCATCCCAGAAAACCTGGACCCACTCCAATTTGCATACCGCCCTTTCAAACAGATCCACAGATGATGCAATCTCTATTGCACTCCACACTGCCCTTTCCCACCTGGACAAAAGGAACACCTACGTGAGAATGCCATTGACTACAGCTCAGCGTTCAACACCATAGTGCCCTCAAAGCTCATCACTAAGCTAAGGACCCTGGGACTAAACACCTCCCTCTGCAACTGGATCCTGGACTTCCTGACAGGCTGCCCCCAGGTGGTAAAGGTAGGTAACAACACATCTGCCACGCTGATCCTCAACACGGGGGCCCCTCAGGGGTGCGTGCTCAGTCCCCTCCTGTACTCCCTGTTCACCCATGACTGCATGGCCAGGCATGACTCCAACACCATCATTAAGTTTGCCGACGACACAACAGTGGTAGGCCTGATCACCGACAACGATGAGACAGCCTATAGGGAGGAGGTCAGAGACTTGGCTGTGTGGTGCCAGGATAACAACCTCTACCTCAGCATGATGAAGACAAAGGAGATGATTGTGGACTACAGGAAAAGGAGGACCGAGCATTACCCCATTCTCATCGACGAGGCTGTAGTGGAGCAGGTTGAGAGCTTCAAGTTCCTTGGTGTCCACATCACCAACAAACTATCATGGTCCAAACACACCAAGACAGTCGTGAAGAGGGCACCAAGGATCAAATGGCTACCCGGACTATTTGTATTTCCCAGAAGTGGTTGGATTCTATGGATTCTTCAATTACATTGTGCTGATTTCTGACGTGCTGTTCCTTATTTTTCCGTAGTATATTTCTGTATTGTTTTAGTGATTCACCATAGTGAAGGCGTAGACTCAGGTTTTCTGGGTCTCTATGGTTTTGGTTGGATAGGTTTCTCAATTTCTTTCTTAGGTTTTTGCATTCTTCATCAAACCATTTGTCATTGTTTTAAATATTCTTAGGTTGTCTGCTTGATATGTTTTTAGATTTGATAGGGAAGCTGAAAGGTCCAATATAATGTTTTGGCTTTCTACTGCCAAGTTTACTCTCTCTCTCTCTCTCTCTCTCTCTCTCTCTCTCTCTCTCTCTCTCTCTCTCTCTCTCTCTCTCTCTCTCTCTCTCACTCTCTCTCTCTCTCACATTCTCTCTCTCTCTCTCTCTCTCACATTCTCTCTCTCTCTCTTTCTTTCTGTCTCTCTCACATTCTCTCTCTCACACACATCCTCTCTCTTTCTCTCTCTCTCTCTCTCTCTCTCTCTCTCTCTCTCACATTCTCTCTCACATTCTCTCTCTCTCTCTCTCTCTCTCTCTCTCTCTCTCTGTCGTTCTCTCTCTTTGCCGTGACTGGTACCTCTGCACTCTCTCACTCTACACTTCCCTATATCAGAGAGATAGATACTGTAATCAAGCTGACTGCCATTCCGCTTCACACACTTCATAGAAAACATGACTTATGCCTTAGTTTGGTTACAATGGTTGTAGCCTACAACATTGCGTTTAACTCTTCATTGACAGTGCCACCTGTCATTAGATCACCAAATGTGAGACAGACAGTGTTTGTTGTCTAACACTTTACTTGACACCCAGCGTCATAACATGTTATGACACGATCATAACAATGTCATAATATGTCATAACAGCTGACATAACTTGTCATAACCTGTTATAATATGGCCATAACACTTTCATAACACATATATTTAGACCTGTTGTGACATATATTGCGTTATTTTATGGCTATTTATGACACCTACATAAGAGTGTCAAAACCCACAAAACCTACCATTCCATTACACCATAGCCTACATGTCAACAGTATGTTTATGTTTATTTATTTTTTAAATAGACAATGTTAAAATATCATTGTAATTGCATACACATTGATGTCAGACATGCACCGAGCCCAATGCTCTGGGATGAACGCAGGAGTAGATTTCAGGAGCAGGACAAGACACCCTCTTTGTGACTGATGACTGATATAAGGGCATGTATGTGATAGGCCTATCTGACTTATATGATTATGATGGTCATAATGCTTCTTGACAGTGTCATAAAGTGTATTTTCTACAAGTTATTTAAAATATGATGTAAAAACATGACTGTAAATAATTCATTCCAACAAAGGATTTAAGAAGCAAACTTTCAAATGAAAGCAAACTTCTTGGCAGGGAAAAACCCCCACATTAGAATACATTTGAGTTTTGACACTCTTATGTAGGTGTCATAACCAGCCATAAAATAACACAATATATTTCACAACAGGTGTAAATATGTGTCATGACAGTGTTATGACCATATTATGACAGGTTATGACAAGTTATGTCAGCTGTTATGACATATTATGACATATTATGACACTGGGTGTCAAGTAAAGTGTTACCGTTTGTTGTTTGTTGGTGGAATCTGTTGTTGCAGGTCAGGAGAAGTGTATTTCTCAACAGCCTTTCTCAACATTCTTCAGCAGGTTGCTACTGCAGTCTGCAGGTACTCACCTTTGGAGCAAGGACATAGAAGTAGCCTGTTCCGTTGGCCCTGCAGATGAGCTTGCACTTGTCCTTGGGTGACACTCCAGAGTATTTGGGGACCCACACCACAGACGCTGAGAGCCTGTTGGTGTTGAGGCTGAATCCGTTGAACGCCTCGCACTGCTCCTCACGGAAGCTTTTGCCTATGGATTGTATGCTTATTAGTAACGTGGATCCATACGAGTACACATCTGTAAAAAAAAATGTTGGTCATCCTTTAATGAAGCAACTTATAAAGGCTTTATAGGACATTCATAAAGTCTTCATGAGCACTACATACACGCTTGACCAAAAAAGTAAACAAAAAGTAAAATAAATATTGTCAGATAGGTGCAGTGAAACGTGTTGATTACATCTGGTGCTTTGCCAATTGTGACATTATCTTTTGCCACTGTTCATATAACATGACATTTGCTTATTAATTATTTCTGAAGCTTCTATATAAGCTTTATCAAGGACTTACGGCTTTCTTTAACACTTCAAATTGTAATTTTAAAGTGGGACCTTTGTTTCACACTCAGGTTTCATTTAGCGTATTTTTACATATTAGCATGTCAGCAAATCTAATTTATTGTGGTAAGGAAGCAAAATGCTTCCAGTTTTCGAAATAATGTAATTAAGGATTATTTAAAACTTCACAATGAATTCTACCTGATTCTGGGCAGGCGTCCAAATTGCAGGAGCGATGCTTCACACGGAGTCCTTGGCAGTATTTTCCCCCATATTCTGGAACAGGGTTGTTACAGTCTCTATTGGCCAGATGAACTCCTCCTCCACAGGTTCTGGAACACGACCCATACACACCCCATGCCCCCCATCCACCATCCACCTGTAGGAGAACTACACACATTTAGAAGCTGAACTCTAAATTACCAGGAGAACCTATAGTTACATTGTAGTATACATTTAGAAATATAGTTTCCAGTACATATTATTAAGATATCAATGTTTTATTGTTGTTAGATTGTGACATCATTGTATTCATTGTGAGATCAGTCTCTATCAACATCTATATCAATAATAACTAAGCAGATCAGAACACTGGCAGTGAGTGTGTTCACCTTGGTCTTAGTGGTGTTGTTCTTGTCGGTGCACACCCCTCGGAAGCAGAGCTTACTGTTGCCACAGCTGGTGCCATCGGCCCAGGGGAAATGACGTGTCTGGCAGACCAGCTGGCCTCTGGCCTTGCCCGTGCACCACAGCTTGGAGCAGTGCTGCATGTAGGGACAGGGCTTGGAGCCCGTACCGAAGGCCAGCTCACACTGGCGGTGGAGGCTGTAGTTGGTGCCTGGGAGGCTCTCAGGCAGAGCCAGCAGCTTTTGGGGCTGATCCAGAAGACAGTCCCCTTTTGAAGAAAAACAACCACAGAGTCAAGATATCAGCCAGGCTAAATAGATTTTTATGGTTTATATCTGCTCAAGAGTGACAGGTGTTGTCATATGAAGCAATATCTCTGCGCTGTTATTCAACATTCCTTTGCAGTTGAACAAAGCAGTCTTCACTCCTCTTAATCCGTTTTTTCAAGATTTGTAAACCATTACGTAATCATGTTTTCCAGCCCAAATAAGTGTAAATACCTGTGCAAGAAATGTTTGTATTTTTTTTAAACATTAAACAAGCGTTGGAGCTCTATATATGTCTCAGTCAGCTAATGCAGATGTTGAACAGGGACAGTATTTGGCATGAGAGGCCCATGAACTCCAGTGCTATTACTGCTAATTTGCATGGCCCCGTTCAAGAACTCCAATAGTACAAACTGTTTAGAGTTGCTACAAGGGTGAGAACAAAGTCTGATCTTTTTCAAGGGGGGGTGGGGGGCATATATACATTTATATGACAGCTATAATTTACACAGGCAGAACTCACACGCACACGCACATTGTATGACAGCTGCAATTGACAGAGACCGAGCTGAGTGGCTGACTGACCGTGGCCTCTGTCCAGGAAGTCTGTAATGATGGCTGCACTGCACACAGACCAGGGGTTGGCATGGTCGATCTGGATTAGCGTGGGGGACATCATGTGGTTGTCCTTGAGCTTCCCAAACACCTCCTTGCAGGCGTTCACATTGTCATGGGGCATGTTGAAGACATGGCCTGAAGGACAGAAAAAATAGCACAAGGAGGAAATATGACCAGGACAACTAGAAAATCTGAAAAAATGGAATATTGGTTTGGGAGTGCTTGGTTCATTTCATCATCATCTCATCATCATCAACGTCATTTTCATCCATGTCAATCATCATCAACAAATTCCAATAATGTTCTAATTCATTCCAAGGAGGGCCGAGTGTCTGCGGGTTTTGACACCCATGTACTAATTAGAGGATGATTTAAAAAATAGGAAAAATCCCATCTCTGCTCAACAAACGATTGAGACCTTGCTACTGTCGAGCGGTGGTTTGGTTGCAGATATTTCCCTCTTTTATTAAGTTTGCAATATCCATTTGTTTTTCTCAGCCTGCAGTAGCTCACGGCGCTAGCCTGGCCTGGTACCAGCTGCTTATGTTTGTAATGAAGACCACTGACAGTGGAACATAATCACAGATTCTTTGGAACGAGGACAAGGAGAGTCAAGGAGGTTTACTAGTCTTCTTCACTGCAACTGTTCCCGGCAGGTGAACTCGTGACTAAAGTTTGATCACGATTCTCTTCAAAATCATATAGCCTACAACTATACTATATGTTGTAGGGCTATTATGTCTGTTATACACTATGTTGTGAAATGTAATTTATTCACTTGAACTCCATCCATTCCACTCCAAATATCAAACCAACCACTTTTCACAATGTTGTCATAGGTTATGAAGTATAATATTCACAGGCAGTAGAAGGAAAATAACAATTTTCTTTGATGGAAAAAAAGAAAACAGTAAGATGGTACTGAGGACTTTGTTTCCAACAACAAGTCAAGTCATCTCATGCCACACGTAAATGACGACTTCACAAATGGATGTAAAATATGACAGAGTCCTTTTTTAAAGGAAATTGTATAATTAGTTGATGGAAATGTGCACCTTAAACCAGTGCCTCTCAATGGGGCCTCACATCTGCTAGTACTTCCCCATCTGTTTTCAGGCTTTACTCCCTTTTCACAGCCCCACATGGATGATTGAAAACACTTGATCGCAACTGTCACTTTTTGTCTCATTAATAATACCAGCCTTGATAAAAATGGCTTTAGTGGTAATGAGACTGTTGGACAGAATGACAACCATTTCACTGGATCAAAGGAAGAAGGCGAGAAAAGTTCAAGAGTTTTCCACGGGCCCTAGTCCTTTTTTCCCCACCCATGTCTGACAGATTAAAATTGGTAATCGAATTATGCACGTGCACATGGGGAGTCAAGGACCCCCCAGGGCAGTTCACACATGGGCAGATTATGTATGCTCTTTGGTCCAATTTACAACATCTCATTTCCATGGAGATTGATGAACTGTGCAGTACATCCACAACAACAGACTACAATTGAATGAGTTAACACCACATGACATCATCAACACCTATCATCTTTTCTGCAAGACATGCATAATGCTTACAAGTTCCCTCTGGCATTAACATAATAACATCAAAGTCTACTTGGGCATTGACATATTATTTATTAGCTGTGAACATCGAAGACGACGAGATGCCCAATGAAGAGCTCCGTGGCCTGTTTGTCAGATGTTTCTACCTCCCTGCCTGGCTGTTCCATCTATACTCCCTCCTCTCAAGATACTACCTTTCTGAACTGCCTGTCATCTAAAGCTGCGAAAGACCATCACCCAAGAACTGCCAGATCCCTACATTTGTTTTGTAAATGTTTTTGTTTGTTTTGTTTTTAAAGAGACATTGATTCTACTTGTAATGAAAAGCACTATATAAAATAAATATTTTATTATTATTATTATTTAGTCTTCACACGCTATCTAGAACCTATAAGGGTTCTTCGACTGTCCCCAAAGATCAAATCACCACAATGTCACAATAGCAAGCACATTTTATTCTGGTTTGTAAATGGTCGAGTTCTGTGTATGGTTGGTTCTCTGCATGGCTCTGCTCTGTATTTACAATCAGCATTGTATAATGTAGTTGACAGTATGGTAGGGGGCCAGCAAAATTGTCGCTATTTTAACAAATGGAACAGGTTCAAATGATCAGCGCTTACTATTTTTTGGTATTCAATTGCCTGGACCAATGTATGGTAATGAAAACAGGGTTGCAGTAGTAGCCTCATGTGCGTCCATCTAAGTGTGGGGCCTAGTAACTTTCTAAGGTCACTAGTTGAGACATACCAGAGAATCCAGACACATTTGGTTTTGTAATTTGCTTGATGTGGAAAATTTTAAAACATCCAATTGTATTACCCTTGTAATGACAAGGCACTAACTAAGTCTCAAAGTTTTCATGTGCTTATTTTGGCCTTTCACTGCAATCACCTCTACAGGTGGGGAAAAAAAGTATTTAGTCAGCCACCAATTGTGCAAGTTCTCCCACTTAAAAAGATGAGAGAGGCCTGTAATTTTCATCATAGGTACACGTCAACTATGACAGACAAAATGAGAAAAAAAATTCCAGAAAATCACATTGTAGGATTTTTTATGAATTTATTGGCATATGATGGTGGAAAATAAGTATTTGGTCAATAACAAAAGTTTCTCAATACTTTGTTATATACCCTTTGTTGGCAATGACACAGGTCAAACGTTTTCTGTAAGTCTTCACAAGGTTTTCACACACTGTTGCTGGTATTTTGGCCCATTCCTCCATGCAGATCTCCTCTAGAGCAGTGATGTTTTGGGGCTGTCGCTGGGCAACACAGACTTTCAACTCCCTCCAAAGATTTTCTATGGGGTTGAGATCTGGAGACTGGCTAGGCCACTCCAGGACCTTGAAATGCTTCTTACGAAGCCACTCCTTCGTTGCCCGGGCGGTGTGTTTGGGATCATTGTCATGCTGAAAGACCCAGCCACGTTTCATCTTCAATGCCCTTGCTGATGGAAGGAGGGTTTCACTCAAAATCTCACGATACATGGCCCCATTCATTCTTTCCTTTACACGGATCAGTCGTCCTGGTCCCTTTGCAGAAAAACAGCCCCAAAGCATGATGTTTCCAACCCCCATGCTTCACAGTAGGTATGGTGTTCTTTGGATGCACTCAGCATTCTTTGTCCTCCAAACATGACGAGTTGAGTTTTTACCAAAAAGTTATATTTTGGTTTCATCTGACCATATGACATTCTCCCAATCCTCTTCTGGATCATCCAAATGCACTTCAGACGGGCCTGGACATGTACTGGCTTAAGCAGGGGGACACGTCTCGCACTGCAGGATTTGAGTCCCTGGCGGCGTAGTGTGTTACTGATGGTAGGCTTTGTTACTTTGGTCCCAGCTCTCTGCAGGTCATTCACTAGGTCCCCCCGTGTGGTTCTGGGATTTTTGCTCACCGTTCTTGTGATCATTTTGACCCCACGGGGTGAGATCTTGCGTGGAGCCCCAGATCGAGGGAGATTATCAGTGGTCTTGTATGTCTTCCATTTCCTAATAATTGCTCCCACAGTTGATTTCTTCAAACCAAGCTGCTTACCTATTGCAGATTCAGTCTTCCCAGCCTGGTGCAGGTCTACAATTTTGTTTTTGGTGTCCTTTGACAGCTCTTTGGTCTTGGCCATTGTGAAGTTTGGAGTGTGACTGTTTGAGGTTGTGGACAGGTGTCTTTTATACTGATAACAAGTTCAAACAGGTGCCATTAATACAGGTAACGAGTGGAGGACAGAGGAGCCTCTTAAAGAAGAAGTTACAGGTCTGTGAGAGCCAGAAATCTTGCTTGTTTGTAGGTGACCAAATACTTATTTTCCACCATAATTTGCAAATAAATTCATTAAAAATCCTACAATGGGATTTTCTGGATTTTTTTTTCTCAATTTGTCTGTCATAGTTGACGTGTACCTATGATGAAAATTACAGGCCTCTCTCATCTTTTTAAGTGGGAGAACTTGCACAATTGGTGGCTGACTAAATACTTTTTTTCCCCACTGTAGATGGTCTGGACCTTAAATAAAAACAATATAAAATAAATCCACACTCTCTAACACACACACTCCTGGAGTATATTATACAGTATAAGCAAATCCAATGCAAGTCAATGGAGAGTGAGGCCTGCTGCAGCATTCTCCCTCTTTCTCTTTCTCTCTCACAAACACACGTGTATACACACATACCACAGACATACATACACACACACAGGTGTGCATGGATGTTTCATGGTAGGGTGGGGTATGCAAAATCGGTCACCTTTGTGCACTTTCTGACCACTTCTACCATGGGCAAACATGTATGGAAGGTGTCATTCAAATCACAAAGGGTGCAGTCAAAAAGTGATTAAATTCATAATATGAACGACCCACACTTATTCCACAGCAAAAGGTCAAAAATAATAGGACGATACAGTGTATTTGGAAAGTATTCAGACCCCTTAACTTTTTCCACATTTTGTTACGTTACAGCCTTATTGTAAAATGTTTTTTTTTTTCATCAATCTACACACAATACCCCATAATGACGAAGCAAAAACAGGTTTTTAGACATTTTTGCAAATGTATTAAACAGAAATATCACATTTACATAAGTACTCAGACCCTTTACTCAGTACTTTGATGAAGCACCTTGGGCAGCGATTACAGCTTCGAGTCTTCTTGGGTATGAAGCTACAAGCTATGCACACCTGTATTTGGGGAGTTTCTCCAATTATTCTCTGCAGATCCTCTCAAGATCTGTCAAGTTGGATGGGCAGCGTCGCTGCATAGCTATTTCCAGGTCTCTCCAGAGATGTTAGATCGGGTTCAAGTCCGGGCTCTGGCTGGGCCACTCAAGGACATTCAGAGACTTGTCCTGAAGCCACTCCTGCGCTGTCTTGGCTGTGTGCCAGGGTCATTGTCCTGTTGGAAGATTAACCTTCACCCCAGTCCGAGGTCCTGAGCGCTCCGGAGCAGGTTTTCATCAAGGATCTCTCTGTACTTTGCTCCGTTCATCTTTCCCTCTCTCCTGACTAGTCTCCCAGTCCCTGATGCTGAAAAACATTCCCACTGCATAATAATGCCACCA